TCATGAAAATCTAAATTTCATTATTCAGAAAGAAGAAACAATTTTGACGTATTTAGCAATCAAAATCAATTCCCCAGAAATGTTACTTTACGGCATTCATCGGTCGCAAGATCTCAATATAAATTATTTTCAAAATTTCTTGGATATGACGCATGAAAATATCGATAAGTTCAAATATGGAAGTTATTATCGGAGAACAATGAATCCAAGAAAGTAGATATGTATTTGAAAATCCAGAAATTTCAAAATTTGCAATGAAAATATTCCTGATGCAAACCCAAATAATAGGGAATAGGAATACGTGAACAAATTGATAAAAATATATGTAGAAAAATTCAAATGTGAATTTCAAATTCTACGTATAAATATTCATAACTATGATGATCTGGATGGGGCACATGGAAAATTGTAGAAAAATTCAAAAGTGAATTTGAAATTCTAAGTATAAATATTCATAACTTTGATGATCTGGCTGGGGCATATGGAAAACTATTGGACATTTTCAATACATGTCTGATTTCGAGAATAATTAGACTATAACATGATTCCAAACCATAGTTCGATAATAACGTGAGCATATTAATCAAGTTACGAGATAAATTTCATTATAAGAGAAAAATATATTCTAATATGAATTATTTTTTCTACTCCCGTATTACAATACGCGAATTGAATATCTGCTGAAATCTGGACCATCATAGGCAGGTTTACACCATACAAATCTTGTATGACTTGTATATGCAAACAACTGTACTTTTCATTATGATACGAATTATCCGCCGACAGAAACACTAATCTGGAAATATTCAAGTGGATCTACGTTTCTATTTCACTTGCTTGAGTTGTTTGACATTTAATTTCAATTGACATTCAATGACAATGCGTCAACAGGACAGGCAATTTATGGACTGATGATGTTGGAATATGTTGAAATATAAATAGCAGGAAATAAATTTCTGCTTTTATAATGTATTTGTCATAAAAAAATAGTGTATGCAACGATCATGTAATGACTATTAATAGATTATCCTTGCATAAAATACTATAGATGAGCAATTCAATTTCTATAATAATCTGGTGAAAAAACAATGAGATACAAATGAGAAATTCATGATAATAATTTCTTCAATAGTACCCACAACTCAGTTTGGAATGGTATCACTTCACCACTGGATAAAAAATCAAGGAATCAGACCGAATATATTAATTATATCACAGTGATTAAAATTGAAAATGCTCATGAGATGACTAGTGCAATCAATCACCATTTCATCAATGTTGGTACAAATTTATTATCGTCAAAAATTACTTTGAATTCAGACACAGCAACAGATCATTCAAGCGTTTTATCTATGTTCCTAAGACGTCCCACCACTTGGATGTACGAAAGTTTTGTGGATTTGATTATATAACTAATAATATTGGAAAGGAACTCTGTTGGTTTTGAAAGCACATATTTTGTGGAATGCAGAAGATAAAAAATATAGTGAGTGGAGTATTTTCTGAGAGCTCTTCAAAATGTCTTTCCAATTGTGAGGAAATATATAGGGTGTTTTATTTAAAATGATAACTTTTTGTTGCTCCTTGTATATCTTTTCAGATAGAGAAAATGTATCTGTTGATTAGAGAAGCAAAGAAAAATCTCCTTGTGGAGCCGTTTTTATTTTTTTTCTACTGCCAAAAATAAAAATGCTTCATAAGGTGTCACCTGGTACATGCACAGGAATATTTAATTTATGAACGACCAACTCGCACACAATATCCTTGATTATTTACAGTATTTACACTAACAAGATGAACCATCCTTATGAGAGAAACAAAGCCAGAAATTCTATTCAGTAGGAAGCGGTATCTATGTGCGACTTGGTGAACAACTTTTTGTTGAGTAGTGAAGGGATCGGTAATGCAGAATATCAAAGTTAGTAATTGTCCTGCTTCCGAAAGAAATATATTCCTACACTCACTAGCAAAAAAAAACAGCCATCAAAATAATTAGCCAAATTGATCGCTCTTTAGCTTTTTTAATTCTTTTCCGATTTTGGAGAAATTCCGACCAAATAAATCATAGACTCACGTCTCGAAATGTTAACCTGAATTTTAGTCCCCAAAAAAAGCTGATGGCTTTATCAGTATATAACAAAGAATTTCGCGCTCAACTTCTTAATGCCCTGTGGCAAATGTGTTAAAACATTGCTGTTTTGGATTGAAGTGTGATCCTTTAATGCCACAATCCTTTTTGAATCACATCAATATTTCCTTTTTACCAGAAGACACAAGTGTTTCAAGAAAGTATGGATTTTGCAAATTTGCGGTTCCTACATGAACTTCGATTAACAACTCGAAAAAACATCCAAAAATTAATATCACTTATTTCCACCCCATTTGTTTAGCACTCGCCAGCAAAGAGAATCCTTAATTACTAAAAATAAATGAAAAACAGACCTCCTAGAAATAGTCAATAATGAGTAGGTATGCCCTCCTCGAGCTTTAATTGCCTAAAGGCCTAAAGTTTTCATTGAAGAGTGAATCATAGCTCTTCAAAAGTCTCTGAATAGGCCAAACGAAAGCGAATGAGCCTCTGAAATTCATCCCAGAGATGCTCTGTACATTCTGAATTATTTTTGATAAACATTTGAAAATTCCCTACTTTCTTTAACCACTTGAATGAAGACATTGACGTGAATCAAAAACAATTGTGTAAAAAAGGGACGAAAAAAGATCACACTTAAATCCAAAACATGATGAAGCAGAAGGCTGTAGAATGGTTCAGAATTATTGTTAATGAACATAAAAACATTCTATACTTTCTTAAAACACTCTGAAAAAGGAGGATATTGACGTGAATCAAAAACCATTGTGTCGAGAAGGGATCAGACCATCCAAAACATGATGAAGCCAAGTTTAACCATTCACCTTTGCCACAAGGCGTTGAGAAGTTGTGGGTAAAAGGGTATCTTTTGTTTTTCACTGTATAATGATCAAGCCATCAGGTTTTTTTGGGAACTAACATTCAGGTTAATATTACGAACATCGATTTGGTTGAAATTTTACCAAAATGGGACAAGAATTAAAAAAGTTAGAGGGCGATCAAATTGGCTAATAATTTTGCCGGCTGATTTTTTTTTGGCGGTGTGTAGATAGCTCAGCAACTTGCAGGTAGATGTTTTCCGAGAGTATACAGGGTGTCCGTTTGTCGAGCTCCACCATGGGGATCTCAGTCATTATAAGATATACAAGGTCGGTTGAACTAGGGCAAAGTTGCGAATCTTCATGCTGAACATTTATCTGCCAGAACATTTGATGTGTCATTTTCAGTTTTTGAATTATTGAAAGAAAACGAAAATTAATAATTTTCGTTTTTATTTTTTCAAGCGGAAACCAAAAGACCTAGACGTTTCTGACTGGGACATTCTTGAGGCACTTTTTTACGAGGAATCTGAATCTGTCATTGTATTTTCCATGAAGTTCTTGATGCCAAAGTTACAACACACCACTTTGTTTTTTCTTATGGGCGCCATATTGGATTTTTACATTTTTGAAGTCTTTTTTCTGATTACAATGATGTATCACACGATATGATCGAATATTTCGTGTTGATCAAAATTTGGAAAAAAACATTTTTGCGAAGGATGCTATGGAAAGAACGCCAACAGTTTTGTTTAACAAGCTGAATTTCGTTTATTTGAATTTGGATCTGGAACATTCACATTTTCGTCAAGCTCATCTACTTCAAAAATATGGTTTTGAATTAGGAACGACGTAATGAGCTAGAAGTTTATTCTTCGCAAAACAAAACGAAGTCTAAACACAATTCTACGCGTTTCCTCAGATTCTGAATTGCTCGCGAGATGTCCCGTCTTCTTATCTTAGTCCTGAAAGTGGTGATTATGGTTCTTTTCAGCTCATCAATATCGACCGGTACAGTTTTGAAAATCAAATCTTTTATAGTTCCCTATAAATAATAATCCAGCGGAGAGAGATCAGGTGACCGGAACATATCTTAAAGACACTCGGCAGCCCGTCTTGCGTTATGTGGATGAGCTTAACAATTCAACGATTCTGATCGCATATTCAATTGAACTGCCAAAATTCCGTTTGTTAAACAAAACTGTCGACGTTCCTTCCAAAGCACTCTTCGCAAAAAGGATGTTTTGCCAATTTTGATCAACAGGTAAGATTCGATCATATCGTGTGATACATCATTGTGATCAGAAGAAGACTTTACAAAAATGCAAAAATCCGATATGGCGCCCATAAGAAAAAATAAAGTTGAATGTTGTAACTTGGGCATCAAGAACGTCATGGAAATTTCGATGATAGATTCAGATTCCTTGTAAAAAAGTGCCTTAAGAATGTCCTAGTCAGAATAGTTTAGGTCTTTTGGTTTTCGCTTGAAAAAATAACGAAAATTACGAATTTTTGTGTTCTTGGAATAATTTAAAAACTAGATATGACACATCGAATGTTCTTGCAGATAAATGTTCAGCATGAAAATGCGCAACTTTGCCCTAATTTAACCGACCTCGTATCTCTTATAATATCCAAGATCCCCATGCTGACGCTCGAAAAACGGGCACTCTGTAGATAAATCGGCGATTTTTTGCCAGCCAAGAACTAAGGCCTAATTCGGCTTCAACATTCAACACTGTCAGTGTAACGAAGATAATACAAAACCCTAGATAGGCACCGTAAATGTAGGAATGGGCAACGCTTGGTTGGGAACGAACAGAGCGGTGGTATGCGCTGTGCGCATCTATTTCACCGACTCCGATATTAATATTTGTTCAACGAAACAGCACAGCCGATTAGCCGCCGGTCTGTTCGATCGCATCCCTAGAGAGTTGCCAATTTTTACACAGGCTTTCTAGACTAGTCTAGAGTATGCATTATCTTTGGTGTAAATAATCAAGGAAAATATGAAACAATCCTTCCCGAAACCTTATCGAATAATGCCCTGCATTGACTTACAATTAAGTACCAACCGTCTTTCGCCCCCTAACCTAATCCCTCCTCGTTCTCTTCGGCCTGCTGATGCTGTCAGCACCCTCCCCCCTCCCCTTCTTGCCCACCTGCACCTGCGACTGCGCAGTGAGGTGCAACGAGATGGCGTGCGTGTTCAGCTTCTCGGCCAGAAGCAGGTCTTTCAGCTGTTTCATTTTCTGGCTGTGCAGCACCACCGTCGGTTTGTTGTCGTCTGCCGGTGGTTTTTCTTCTTCTTCTTCTTGTTTTGAGTCGGCGATGGCGGTGATAGGCTCTTTCGAGGTACTAGCACCGCCGTTACTGCCGTTAGGTTTCTGTTCGTGGTCCGGTGTCGAGTTGTCAGTTGGATATTCCCCACCTGATGGAACGTCATTTATAGATATGGGGCAGTTTCCTTCAGATGAATTTTCAAAAAATAAGTTGAAAACTCGGAAACTCCTCAGTTTTATGTCCACGCTGTACAGAATGACGATCGATAAAGTCCAAGTCGTTTTTATTTTCACAATAAAGGGATTTCTGATTATTGGGACGGCAAACTTTAACGAACATTCTGAATATAGGTAATTCAACACACCCTCATCAACATAAAATTGCAGCATATATAAAAGAGAATCTGAAGTAAGGTCGACCTTCACCCATCTGGTTAATGGATGACAATTATAATTTAAAAAAATGGATTGCCTGAAAAAACCTGGCCAGGCAATAATTAATTAAAAATTCAAAAATCACTTTTTTTTAATTCATGCAGATGTGTGTGTTTTATGAAAAAAATTTACACCAACCATAGGTATAAAGCCTATAGAATAAACGTTGGGTTGCCTATGTTTTTCCTAGTATAACTATAGGGTTGCCAGGTATAAATAGGTATTTTTGGATGTATGATAAATTGATATTCATCATACAGGACGTGGAAAGAAATTCTGAATTGAAATGAGTTTTACTCGAGTGAAGTCATATACGATAAGAGTACTTCTCCTCTACATTTCAATTTTCATTTCAATACTGAACATATTGATGAGTTATATTTTTAAATCATAATATATCATATTGTGAAGATATTCCCCTTAGAGGGGCTCTAGAAACATCAGCAGGAAGGCAGGAGTACAACGATCATCCTGTAACACGCATCCCAGATTGTTCTCCAACCTCTCAATGATTCCTACATGCACCAGCATATTTCCGAACACTCAATATATGCCGCGGTGACAAATAACGTGTCAGAATATTCTGGAATGTTCTGGAAACAATCAATGGAGCAATTAGAGAGAGGTATTGTTCTAAGAAGCTTCTAGAACAAAAAGAAGGAGACGGAAGATCATGCGAGAACGTTCTCGAACCAAAGCCTACCAATGGATCTTATATTTAAGACGGCCGAACAACTGCGTCAGTCAGTCGAGCAGCAAGTGTCAGAGAGACAGTTATATACCGCGTGATATAAATCGTTTTACATAAATACTAGTTATAAGTTCGTAATAAATTAGTGTTTCTTCAGTTCAAATAAATCAGTTCGAAAATAAATAGTGTCGTGTTCGGTTCTGCACCCGAATAACGTAACAATATTGTTCTATTCGATTTGAGAGATGTCAATTCTCAATTTCAAAGGTTTTGATTTTTCATTCTCTCTTTTCAGATATAATTCAATGTTCGACGTGGCGAATAGCCAGGAAAGTAGTTGTTTTCTGTTGAATATTCAGAATGATATTATGTGCATATCTTTATATGATGGAGAATGACATTTTTTTTTACTTCAGAAGATTTTGTTTTCAAATTTTTAGTGTGTGTGTTCAATAGATGTAATTCAATATTCGTCGTGGCATACATATCCAGAAAAGTAGTTTTCTGTTGAATAAACCGAGTAAGAATTAATATTTTCATCACATGGAGAATGCGAATTCTCAATGTATTTCTTTATACATATATATCCATTTTTTTGTATTCATAAATATATCTGAGAATATTCCTTTTCAATATATAGGTATGTTGGTCCTGGTTGTTTAATCTATGAATCAAACATAAAAATAAGCGCAGTTTTATTGCGAACACAATGATATCGGCTTGCCTACAAAAAGTCTATAGTGAATGACGGTTGTCGAATTTTAAAGTTTAGGATTTTTTTGTTTTTCCGATTTCCTCCTATTATTTCCAGAATAATGAAATGAAATTTTGTAATCGTTTCACACTTTGGAAACGTATTATTTGGGGCTATCGAGCGATCTTAAATACCTACAGGATGAAACACTTTTGAGGATTTGAGGGTCGTACCCGAGTTAACCCTCTCGAACTTTTTTGCTTTTTAAACATCAATTTACATTCTCCATTCAATTTGGATACTTTTTGCTTCCTTTTGTTTTTCCGAAAACTGTATGGATTTGAATGCCACACATAATTTACTTGTAATGAAACTTCATTTGTCGAGTCCGTATTTTGTAGCAGGATTTTAACAGCTTAAAAAACACATTTTTGCGAGATGAAAACCTCATGTAAACATATGCGTGGGCGTTTTGAGATATTTATTGGGTTTTTCAAGTTTTCTCCTACTTTTTCAAAATAATGAATTGAAATTTGGTACACCTGGTTCACTTTGGAAACCTAAATTTGTGGCTATCAAGCGTTCTTGAATATCTACAGGATGATACCCTTAACTGCTCCAATCATATTCTTATTGCATGAACTATTAATATGCGCACTCTCTTACATCCTGTGATCACGCTGCGCGCAACTTCAACTCTGTCTTCCTCTATTGCACTGTATATTTGTCTCGGACATCTTTGTCGCACGTTCACAGCAGCAGTAAAGTTTTAGTTTTCAAAAAATTCGACAACAGTCATTCAGGACAGACTTTTTGCAGGCAACCCTATATCATTGTGTTCGCAATTAAACGGCGCTTATTTTCATGTTCAATTTATAGATTGAAAAAGTAGGTGAAGATAACTAGGACCAACACACCTGTTTATACCTGGCAACCCTATAAATAGACCATAAAAAATAAAGGCAACCCTACGTTTGCATGTTCTATAGGCTTTTTACTTGCGGTTGGTGTACATTTTTTGCATTAAACACATCGGTAGATTTTAAATTAGAAAGTGATTTTTGAATTTCCAATTAATTATAGCCTGGCCAGGATTTTTACTGGCAACCCATTTTTTCATAATTTTCGGCATACTGAATTACTTATAAAATAATGTTCATCCATTACACAGAAGGGTGAAGGTCGACTCACTTCTGTTCGTAGACTAATAGTATGATACATAGGCTAGTAAATGTCCCTCATAAAGCAATTCAAGAAGTTTATCCTACCATCAAAAACAATAATCAAAATTATAGAACTTTAACCTATTTCGGATCATCAATTGAAGAATTCGATGTTTCAATCAATAGCCACGCGTAATTGTAGCCAATAATTCTGCAATGTCCTTTACATTGAAGTGTCAAAATTGAACTGACTTACCAGTGTCCACCATATTTTTTCTTCGACCGATCTTACGTGTGAGTAACAATAATAGTTATTTTTACACCAAAGTAGTAGATAATATCAGTATTACCCAGGGACCCAGATTATATCCTGAGCCTTCAGCCAAGGGGAATAAGCTCCCGTGGTAATTATTCATTACTACCAAGGTGTATATTGAATTTTTTTCACCACTAGCAGTATATTTCAATGACTATACAGGGTGATTCATCAAGAATGGAAAATCTCTGCCCAATATGCCTGATGAGAATGTTGCTGGTTTAGGAGACACAGGGTGTTCTAGGGGGAGATTTTATTTCAAAATTTCACAATAACTTTGTTAGTTTTAACAGCATGAACATGAAATCTTGTACTTCTAGGTTTTCTGACATGAGGAATATGAATTTGCAACTTATTTTGTGATTACTCATTGAGGGCGCTAGTGGCACTCTGTTATTTCGATAATTTACATCATATCTTCCATGTCAATTCATTGATGATCAAAATAAGTGGAAAATCTGAAAGCTCGTTCAATTTCACATGAAAATTGTACTCTTTGTCAAAGTGTCTAGCTTCAACGGTTTTCGTTTCAAAATATCTTCTCCTTAACCATCCTGTATCTCTTAAACCGGCAACATTCTCATCAGGCATATTGGGCTAAATCTCATTATTTTTGTGTTTACTATCTGAAGTAATGTGGAACTGAAATATGGACCTATTGTCACTATAACTATAAAAGTACTTCTTTTCAATTCTACTTGAAATCTAGTGGCCATGACCATGACAGCAATGGCAAGTCATTATTGATAAATAACTACTAGATTCGAGTGCCATTCCTGCGCATCTCGCATAAAAACAGTGAATTCGGATCAATTATATCAGAGGTGGTTATGTCTTTATTAACTAGTCAAATCCAGGATGTTCCTTTTAAAAAATCATAAGTTTGTGTCGTATCCAAAACTATACCCCGAAAAAAAATTAGTGCGCCACTGGATTCTGCGTAAAATTCTTTATGGGATACGACTTTGATTTGAAATTTTCGCTGAGAAACTTCATAGATATAGAGCTGGGTTCAAAAAGTAAAAATTCTCAAAATCGCCCTGTATGTCATAAACAGAAACAGTTGAAGGGGCCAGTGGAAGGAGGAGTTATGTTACAAATATGAGTTTGTGAGAAAAATAGGTTTCAGTGAAGTTAGCTGGCATTTTTTGACGGAAGCTAGTTTAATAATTGGATTTATGCAATTGTGAGGAATAGTTTCAGGTTGATTTTTTATGATTTACAGCATTTTGCTATCATATCATTTTTTTGATAGACATCTAGATTTATGCGTACATAACCCCTTCTTCCATTTCCTGACATGAAGGCAATGGGCACATAGCTCCTTCTTCCATTGCATCCTTGATGTTTAATGTAACCTAGCCCCTTCTATCACTGTGTATCTGCTCAGATATGAAGAAAACAAACTAACTCCAAATGACTCAAAAGATACGAACAAATATAAAATAATTTCAGAATTTTCCAAATTTTACAAAAAAACGGTGGGTCAAAATCTAACCCACCATTCCATAAGGTGAAAGATTTCATGAGAATTGACTCATTTCAGATCACTGTGGAACGTCTGCAAACATGTTTTGTTCTTTGCAAGACAGAGTGAAACACACAATCAGTTTGTTCCAACTTCAAACTTTCCTGAATTGCAAAGAGCATTGTCTCCTTCGACTTGTTCAGATAGGTTGGTGAGCACACTGTGTGACTCTCATTACCGCGCTTTGACTGAGTGTTCTTCTCTATTTGACTCGTCCATTCGATTGATGTTCTCGATGAAGATACTGATATTTATTGACGACTATAAATGATCAAATCTTTCATTGATAACTTTGAAAGATATGGAGTATTCTGTGAAGAATAAATGAGTTGACTACAACGGCATCCAAGGAAAAGATTTCATGAATATCTGTTCCATTGTATGTCTTTCCAGTCGTCTGATAATTCTGCTTAGTATATAGATTGATCTGGAAAACTGTGATTCAATAATTTGTCCGTGATGAACTGACGAGAGAGATTATCCATTTTGAGCCACTCCAGAGGTTCTATTGAAATCTTTTGGCTGAACGATCTCATCCACTCCACACCATTTTTTTCTCTATCCCTGGTTTCAACTCCGCGATAGGGGTATCAAATCTTCTGGGTCCCATGTATCCATATATAAGTACTGGTGTCTCAATATTCATATCAGACAGTATAATGTTGTTAAAATTGAATTCGACATCATTTTCCTCATCATTATCCTTGAAAAATGTCTTGGTCATGTTGTATGATGGGACAAATTTCAAACAGCGTAGATTTTCACATTTTGTGAACGAAAAATAAACATGTAAGTTGGAAAAATATTACAAGTAGGTTACCTATGTTGCCTAGATAGTATATAATGCAAAAAAAATGTAATAACATGATAAGCATGAAATTTGCAGCCGCAATTCGAGAGGAGAAACACAACGTACGGAACAAGTTTTGAGTTTATTCTATTCACTAATGATGTATGGTTCATTCGCTTCAGCTTAGAACATATGATTCAAAAGACCAATATGAGTGAATAATATGGGGCGGGAGAGAAAATAAACCGTCGTACCACAAATCATAAGCCCATTGCAGAGCGGGATATATTTTGTCCCAGCATACCTCTAACTCCAAGAAATTCGTGGTTCAAATTCTGCACCAAAGTACTTGAGAGAGTTAATAAGTTAAACGGACATACCTACAAATGGAGATCCTCCTCCTTGCAACAGATAGTCCGGATTCAGAATCTTTTCTGAGCAAGCAGCTGTCAGAGCCTCTATACTCGGATGAAAATTCGTCATCGACTGATCCTTCTCGATGGAACTTCTGATACCACCCGACATCAATTCATTACCAACAGAGCCGTTTTCTTTCTCATAGTTGTTGTTGTTGTTGTTGAAATACGTGCCATTCTTTTTGGTGAGTTTATCTTCCTCTGATTTATCACAGACGATGTTCACTTGCGCTCTGACATCGGCATCGAACTTTGATATTGTAATTACAAGGGGTTTGGCCCAACCTATGTGTAGTACTGGGGTCGCACTACCTGTCGAATCGAAAATAACATGACAATTATTTTTGGTTTAATCATTAGAAAAAATTTACAAACGTGAGTCTAGAAATAAATACTTTTTTCTGTGACGGAAAAAAAGTTTGGCATTTCATCTCTGTTGGCAGGTTATGAAATGTCGCTTTTCATAAATTACTTTTTTCCCGTGGGCAAAAAGTGAGTACTTTTTTCCCCAGATATATATCACATATATATACACTGTTGATGGCTTTTGTTGTGCTATAGTTCAAGTCAAATATCGGCAAACAATCAATTTTTCACACAGGAATCGTTCTATACAACTCATTACCAAGTCATTTGAGGAATATAAAGGAAGCAACTAGATTCAAAATTAACTTAAAAAAATATCTGCTTCAGAGACTTTGATAATTCCATTTCTTATTTGAATACCTACTTATAAAAGACTAGGTTGATATTGCATGATTATTTGCATTTTTTTTTTTTTAACTTGTTATATCTTATTATAATTTCATAATTGTATGTATAACATTATGTATATTGTTTATGTATCCCTATTATAAACAACTATGTTTCTTGGGGTAATAAAGACAATCAATCAATCAAAAAAATGAGTCAATAATACCGTCTCCGAGAAAGAACTGCAAATCCTTTTATATTCCATTCGACTTCGCTGTTACGTATATTACTAAACAACCACTGAATTCGCAATTTTTCGAAATCAAATCACAGAATTAGACTGACAGAAGGGACATCAGATATTTGATTACTTCAAAAGAATGATAAAGATGTCTACAACGCAGGTGTCCCTACTGTTGAAAACTTAAAATTTCACGTCGATAATTTTCAGATTTCAAAATAATGTAATATCTTCCCAATATTGATTCGTCCTTTCTTCTGTCACAGAAAAAAATAGTGTATTATACACGGGAAAAATATTAGATTCTAGCTCACGGGTTTTTGTCTCCCTCCGCTACGCGTCGGAAGACAACACAACCTGGAGCTAAAATCTACTACTTTTTCCCCTTGTATAATAAATAATTATTTTTGTTATATTAGTTGTTTGAGTTGACAATGTAAATAAACTTTTGTCATGATTTTTTTCAATCGTAAAACGGACCCCGCACTTTTTCTATATAAAAATGGCGTTCTGTCGAATTCTCTGAATTTCTGGTATATTACAGAACTGGACCTAATGATCAAATATGCCGAGTTCCAATCCGATCCTATGACCAGTTTTTGAGATACAGGGTGTTGAAATTGACAAATGCCCCCTTTTCATCTACCCATATCTCCAAGAAAAGACAAATGAATCAGAATTTTCTGCTAGCAGTTTTTCAGTTCAACTTTAAGGTACAACAACCATGAACAGAATCAACCAAAGCTAATCTTTATCACAGAGTGATTCACATCTGAATTATTGTGTAGTTTTCAATTTCTAAATATCGATACTACAACTTGATAAAAATTAAAAAATCAAAATGATCATTCGATATGTTCTTCTTACATGAAATTGATTCATTATATGTAATGATTATACATGGTGTTCCGTGAATGCTGATGTTTAGAAAATTAAGTTTAATGAGCCACCTCGTATTATTGAGTTGATTTAGGGTATTGATTATAATTTTTGAGGACACATTATGGTGCATTTCATGGTATACAGAGTGATTTATTGAATGAAAAAATTTCCAACTACAAAAAAATATTAAAAAACCACTGTTTTTTCCATCACCCTCTAATTTTAGATGTTCACCGTTATAGGCCAATCAAATAAGATCCAATTAGCCTGAATAGAAAAAATAATTGATAAAAATCTAAAAATTGGTGGAGACCTTCATCTTGGCTCACTATTGACTGTTCTCAAAGTCCGGACCCGTATCAGCACGGCTCGGTCCGCCATCTTGGAAAAAAGGTACACTGATTTAGTTTTTCCATCATATTTCCGTAACCGTCCATCCTATCGTATCAAAGGTTATAATAAAAATTTAAGATCTTTAAATTCTCTATGAAAAAGGTCTCATTAACTTTTTTTATAATATCGATACTTTTGTGTCAAATCACCAATGAATATATAAATGATGTTCATTATTCTCCATTTTACGAAAATTTTCGGAATTACAATGTTCCATTAAATAATCTTGAATGATCTGTCCTATACGAATACTTCTGCCTACTCTGTGACGACACAAGGAGAGAAAAAGAGAAGGGGTCAATAAGGTCATAAAGTCCTGACACGTGTGCACATGTCTGCACTTGCACTTGCACTTCCACTACTTCCAACAACTCATTTGCAGGTCATATACAAAATATGCTGTCTTTTTTTTCATGCTGGCCACATCCTTCACGCTAAAGCATGCCATCTCTATCTTCAAGATATGCTACATTTGAATAATCATATGGATATTGAAGAATACCGTTAGTTTCTTGATTTTTTACAATCAGACGAACCGACAAATTTTGGTCTGGAACTTGGTCAGACATGGTTATTGAGCAAACTTTGATGAGAAGCATGAAATCCACTGGTGGTCTGACATGTCGAGGCTTCAAAAACAGTATTCTTGGCAAATGGATTATGGCAATACCTGCTCTTCTGGACATCTGTGACAGGTTAGACCAATTTTGCGATGTACCTTTCATTAGTGGCAAACAGCATGCCGATTCAAGGGAGTCACGAAAAGAACGAGATGACGAGGATGTGAAACGGTTGCAGCACTGGATATCTTCTCATGATCCTTTTCCGAATTCAGATAAATTTTTTTCAATAAGTACCGGAGTTGTTGGAGATAGTACTATCGAATTCTACAATGCTCTTGAAAATGGTGTACACGGTATTAAGAAAATAATGGAAAACAATTCCGGGGACGTGAAGTTTAAGCGTGCTGATAAAGTTCATCCTCTAGCAACTCTCAACCCTGCTATTAAAATCATCGACGTGCTAGAAACGATTAAGAACAATTATCCGGTTATCTTGAATATGAACTGGCACCATACCCCCTTTCTTTATTCAACGAATCAGGTATGCGGAAGATGGCAAATATGTAATAGACGGTGGGTATCTCGTGCACCGTGTCATTTGGCATCAAAATCAGACATATCAATGAATTTGCCAAACTTACGTGAACAATGTGAAGAAATAATTAGGAACAGCAGCAACGCTTCAAGCACTGAAACAGCAGAACAATGCTTGCGGTCTGCGAAATACACTAGCGTAGATATATTCTTCGATGAGACAATTGCTGCCACTGTCTCACAAGAAAAATTTCTGGGCAATGGAAAGAATAAAACTCGATTGATTCCGATGTTATCAAAGAGATTCGAGGCTGGAGGATTCACTATCAAACATGCCAAAGATGATGCCGTTACTCTAATCATCACAACAGCGCTAGAAGTATCATCCAAAGAAAAAGCTGTGAATGTTGGTGAGGATATAGTTTTGCTCGTTCTACTCACTGCTTTAGCTCCACAAGAACGAAATATTTATTTTCTGAAACCAGGAAGGGGCAAAGTCGAATAACACGAGCTGGGGAACGATTTTTCTTGGCTATGTATGGTGCACCTGTGACTGATACCTCTTTGAATAAACATCGTTTCAATATCTTCAAAAAGTCAGCATATAAAAACAAATTGAATTTGGCTTCGTTGCCTCCAACAGCTGCAGCAGCTCAACAACACTATTTCCGTGTGTATTACCAGATACAAAAATGGCGTGGTAATGAGAAACTTGTGCACACAATGAAGGCACCAGCCCTGGATTCATTGCTGAGGTTGATATCATGCAATTGTAAAAAGGATGCACTTCCTCCTGCGGGTGTAGAAAAGCAGGACTGAACTGACATGTATGAATTCAGATACTTCGTGTGATACTGAAAAGGAGATAGATCATGAAGATGAAAACTTTTTCGTGTTTGATGCGGAGGACAGAGATGATGATGATCATTGATCTGCAGTACCTCAGTCATCTGCTCGCGGGACAATTATTTTTTTTTCTATATAAGTACTTGTTCGAATAAAAAACTTTTGTATACACAATGAAATATTATATAAGTTTTCAATTAATCACTCCAAATTATATCATTTCTCACAAATTCTATACAGAGTGTACTTTTTTCGGCAATGAATACAAATATCCAAATATTTGACAGTGTATAACAGAAGAAATATGGAGAAGAGGAAAAAATTTTTCTCAATGTTTTTTTATGTAGAATTCAATTAGCTTCATTTTTTGTAATGACTTTCAATACAATAGAATCAAAAATAACTGATATATGAGAAAAAAACTGAATTAGTGTGTTTTTTTTCCAAGATGGCGGATCGAGCCGTGCTTGTATTGGCCGGACTTTTGGCATAATCAACAGTAGGCCAAGGTTAATGTTTCCACCAACTTATAGCTTTTTATCAATTATTTTTTCTATTTTTTCTAATATGACTGAACTATTAAGGTCAGATTTTTTTTCATTAATATTCTAAGTATGAATACCTCAATGAGATGAAGAATTTTCAGCTCCTTGCTATGACTAGTTTTCCATATATTGAATATAATGAAATGCCTAGGACATTAAGGACTTGTGCGCATGTGGCTAGTGTATTATGGTTTCTGGGTTTCGCTAGATATCAAGGAAATGTTCGATTTCCATAAAATAGACTTTTCAATTGTATTGACGATGCTGCAGATCGATTGCAACCTGACAATATTGATATCGGTCCGGAAGTGATTTGAAACTGACGATAGTGTTCCTTTGAACAAATCATTCGTTTGATTTTTTCCAGAAATCAATCGATATAAACATTTGACATTATTCGTGCAGTGGACTAGACCTAATGGGGATACAACTTGAAAAAAATGCGCTGGAAACTCTACCTCTCGGGTGGTGTGGAAATGAGTTAGTTGTATTATACAGGGTGTGCGATAAACCATCGATCATACTCTAGCCGGTGATAAACAAATTCATAACCTATCAGAAATGACCTCAGCAAAAAACACGAATTTCGAGATATTGGAACTTTTATATAAAAAAAATGAATTCCTGTCTTCGTGTGTAGCTTGTATTCAACAGAAAACAACTACTTTCCTGGTTATTTGCCACGTCGAACATTGAATTATATCTGTTGAATATCCAAAAAAATAAAGCATGAAAAATCAGAATCCTCTGAAATTGAGAATTAACATCATCTCTCACATCAAATAGAAGGAGAATGCAAATTCTGTACTTCAGAAGATTTTGTTCTCAAATTCTCATCGTGTGTATTCAATAGATGTAATTCAATATTCGTCGCGGCATATAGCCAGGAAAGTAGTTGTTTTCTGTTGAATAAACCGAGAAAGAATTGATATTTTCATCACATGGAGAATGCGAATTCTCAATGTATTTCTTTATATTGTATATATCCATTTGTTTGTGTTCATAAATATATCTGAGAATGTTCCAGTACAATAATAATAGAGAATGTTCCAGTACAATAATAATACATAATCAGTTCTAATATAAAGACCACGTCAAACCTAGAGAGAATGTAGATCAAAGGATGACCCACCTGCATATGACAAAATGCCGTTCTCGAGATTTTTTTTTTAAATATCCACTACCAAAGTTTTCAATAAAAATATTTCTCACAGCCCCCCTTTGAAATGTTCGGAGAATGTTTTTAATGTATACGTCAAAATCATTCTTCAGCAATATTTACTGACAAAAAGAACCAAAAAGGTGTAAAATTGTACCAACCGTACAGACAAAACTAGAAAGGGGCAAAAATTCAATATTTTCAACAACAAAAAAATCTCGATAACGGTTAGACTTTTATAATGGGAATTTTGTCATAGCAGGTGGGTTATCCTTTGATCTACATTCTCCCTAGGTTTGACGAGGTCTTTACGGGACACCCTGTATGAAATTAATAAATTCTTGAAATCAGTCACTGATTTATATTCTTTGATGGAGGTTGGTAATTTATTGAACTCATTGAGGCCTTTATAGAAAAGTGATTTCATAGAAGAGGTCATATTCTGTCTTTGTAAGTACAGATTATTGTTGATATCAGTGATATCTATGTTATATGTCACAATCCAGTTTATAATAAAACAAGAACAAGTGTTAAACTGTCTTGCTCAGTTCATTCATGACCTTTAATCTTGAGTTATGAATATTAAAATATCCAAATGAGCTAAAAAATCGTTTGAGACGGCAACGCTGTTTATCTCACTGAAAAGTGAATTATCGATTCTTATATACTGTCAAAAATCAGTCGGCGCGTTACAGTACTTGTAAAATCAGTACTGTTGACGATTTTCTGTCTTATTTGAATGAGGTCATTTCTCTGGAATTTTTTTTTGGGAAATCTAGAATGAATAAAAAAATAAAAAACTTCTCTGTGCCTTTTCTCATCCCGATGAACGCCATATTGTGTTTTTTCAGAAATTAGTGTTCTTGCCCATCATCAAAAATTTGTGATAGAGGATGGGAGGAATCATTGATCAATCAAAATACTCTACCTTCTTCCCATTGACATATGCCATCATAGAAACGAAGAAGATCAGCAAAACATTTTGGCTTCTTCAGGATAGTATTTGCACTGAAACCTGAACTCTCTACTTTCATTATAAGAGGTATCAACTCATTTGCGATTTCCAGGAATTCTTTGTAAATTTCTTCATCATCTCTAGAATAATTGTACCTGAAAATAATGATACATGGGGGCACAAAATATAAGAAACTCCACCTTAAACATAACTAATAGTCATTTATTATACAAGGAAAAAAAGTAGTAGATTTCAGCTCGAGATTGTGAGCTAAAATCTAATATTTTTCCTGTGTATAATACACAATTTTTTTCTGTGGCAGGAAAAAGGAAGAATCAATATCGAGAAGTTCTTACATTATATTGAAAGCAGAAAATTATCGACGTGAAATTTGAAGTTTTTTACAAGAATGACACCTGCGTTGCAGGTATCTTTTTGCAGGCATCTTTATCATTCTTTTGAAGTAATCAAATATCTGTCAGTCTAATTCTGTGTTTTATTTCGAAAAATTGCGAATCTATTGGTTGTTTAGTAATTTACGTAACCACGAAGTCGAATTCAAGATAAAAAGACTTGCAGGTCTTTCTCGGAGGCGATGGGTATTATTGGCTTATTTTTCGGAATGGGCGCGAGGACTGATAATGAATTATTGGCATTAAATTACACCACTGTGTCGTTAGGAAACTAAATTAATTTTTGCAACACAAATAATGAGTCTATGCGTTGTTCAGAATTGTTGAATTTCAAAGTTCATTTCAAACGTACCGTCATGGCCGCCATTTGGCGTTATATCGAATGGAAACGTCAGTTTTTATGCTGTTTCGTTATTGGTCAGATAATCTTCCATTTCCACTCATGAAGCAAGGTTGTCAAGTCACCAATTATAATCAATTTATGGAAAAGATTAGTCCTGTTGTTGAATAAAACACGAGATGAAACATAATATAAGGAAGCCATGATTAGTTCATCATTTACTTTTTCGAGCAACCAGCATGTCTAAATATCTTTTATACTCCATAACAAAATATCATGTTGATGTTGAAGACTTGGCAACAATGTGCTGAATGCTGAGAACAGACAAAAAACCGCCCACAATTCGTGATACCATGTTGTCACGTTTATCCTCAAATGTCCTATAGTGTGAATTAATATATTTTTTTTTTGTTCTCACGAAAAGGGATATCCTGTAATGTTTAAAGAACATCGTGAGAACCAAGGAAACTAAGGTAGGAATTGGTATTCTTCTTAAATTTGTGGAGGTTATATGCCTCGGGGTACACCTCCCTTGGCAATGTGTTCCAGAGCCTCGCTGTTTGTTGGATGAACGAGTTTTCGGAAAGAGAAGTTCTGCAGCTCGGATTATAATAACAAAACTCGTCCTCTCTCGCGTCCACCATATTGGATCCGCCATCTTGAATTTACCAATTTTTACGAAGGATTCACAATCTCCGACCCCGAAAACCCCCACATACCAATTTTGAATAGAATCGGATCATAATTACAAAACTCGTCCGCTATATTGGATCCGCCATCATGAATTTCCGAATTTTGACAAAAGAATCATATCATAATTACAAAACTCGTCCACCAGATTGGACCCGCCATCTTGAATATCTTAATTTTGTCGAAGGAATCGTAATCTCCGGCCCCGAAAATTCCCAGATACCAATTTTGAATAGAATCGGATCATAATTACAAAACTCGTCTGCCATATTGGATCGATCATATTGAATTTCCAAATTTTGACGAAAGAATCATAATCTCCGACCCCGGAAAAAAGGACATCTTATATTATTTTTGTTTCTTGTTTCTTCATTATTTTTCAAATACTGTGTGTTACCATTTGCTCCATCTCACCCCTGTACATTCACATTCCTAGGACAATTTGAGATTTTTCTTCTTTTTAAAATCAAATCAAATTAAACTGATAGATATTTGATAGATATTTCAAAAGAATGATAAAGAGCCTGCAAAAATATGACTGCAAGGCAGATGTAATTCTTGTTAAAAACTTCAAATTTCAAGCTGATAATTTTCTGATTTCAATTTAATGTTATATCTTCTCTATACTGATTTGTCCTTTTTCCTGTCATAGAAAAAAATAGTGTATATACATGAGAAAATATTAGATTTCTGCTCACGGGTTTTTGTCTCCCTTTGCTAAGCATGGGGAGACAAAACAACCTGGAGCTAAAGTCTACAACTTTTTTCTCTTGCATAATAAATAACTATAACTAAATTCAGTCATATCCTTGGTCACATAACATTCTAATAAAAAATTCATTTTTTTGAAATCAATCCCTTATGGGCCAACTACAGACAAACTAGTTCATGAATCTCCATGGAGATTTCCTTTTTTCGAAAAACTTACAATGGACATAAATATTGTACTTGTTTTGACCTGTTGACCTTGAATATGTAAAAATATACAGGGTGTTCCATTTGAAGAAACAAAGTGATCAAATACAAAATGGTTGCTATATATAACTGTACCAAATTTCAGAAAAATCCGTTTACTAATACAGAAGTTACAGGTGTGGCCTCATACCCTGGGTCACCTGGTATGTTCATGGTTATCTTGCCATGACTGAATAGGCCAAACTTTTGGTCTAAGAAATTAACTTTCAAATAGGAAATTTCAAAAAAATATTTAAATTTTGTTATCAATTTACCCCCTCAAGTTCACTTCAGCACTACATGTAGCAGTGACAATGGCTGCTTAAGAAAATGTAATCTGTATTTTACCCCCTTTAGGGAAACACATTTTAATATGTTTGTACCCTATTTAACCATAATGTTCACATTTTTAAACTGGACCAGATATTTTTATGTACAAATTTCCTTGTTAACCTGATGAGTATGCAGATGATGACTCAACAGTGGAAAGCTCTCTACTTCCCTTCACTGGTATCTATTTATCTACCTACTATGAAAATTCCATGTCAGTCTATAAAACTCATTCACAGGGTGAATATTAATAGATTAGCACTGTATTTTCACAATTTTGAATACATCAGTTCCATATTTCCCAAAAAAATCAGACAAACTGCCAAGCTTATTTCACTACAGTTGTTTTTGTGGTAGTAATTGCACTAACAGCACCATAATTTCACCAACACATAGGTTGGACCAAACAGAAAATACAAATTCTGAAAATAAATACTGAGATCTCCAAACAACAACCTGAAAAGTTCTACACAAAAAAAAAATTGATCTGGAGAGATTAAAGCAAGATCTCTTAGAAGTTGATAGAAATTTCCTGGACACCCTTGACATAGATGTAAACTATGGAAAAATAACTAATTGTTTTGAAAAAAACACTTCTAATCAAAGATGTAAAAACAAATTCAGGAAAGACTCCAAACCCTGGTTCACCTCGAAAGTGCTACAAGCGATAAAACATCAAGAGTATCTATACGAAAAGAAAAAAAGATTTCCAAGTAATGAATATTTCTTCGACCAACACAAAATCGCTCAAAAATCTGTAAAAACTGAAGTCAAAGCTGCGAAGAAGAAATATTATGAAGAAAAATTCAATAGAACTAATGGGGATCAAAAAAAAACATGGAAAATCATAAACAACATCATTAGAAACGAGTCAACAACCTATACAAACCATATTTCTTCTATAAAAACAGATAACAATGACACCATCACAAGTCCGGAAGAAGTCTGCAACTATATGAACATCTATTTTGTTGGAATTGGGGAAAAACTGGCCGCAAACATCACATCCCAAAATATAGACCCTGCCAAGGAAACAACTTGTGATGCCAGATTCTCATTCACCCCGGTAACACAGGAGGATATTGGTAAAATTATAGATGACCTGGATACATCCAAGGCACCAGGATGGGATCGGATTGAAGCAAAGACTGTGAAAGAGTGTAAACTTGAACTACAAAGTGTTTTGTATAAACTTATAAACCAGTCCTTATCATGTGGTAAAGTACCAGAAGTCTTCAAACTAGCGAAAGTGTCACCTATGTATAAGTCCGGTGATAAGGAAGACCCAAATAACTATCGCCCTTTATCAGTGCTTCCAATACTATCGAAAATAATTGAGAAAATCGTGAACAAGCAACTGCTGGAATATCTTGAAGAAAATAGTATATTGACCAAATCACAGTATGGCTTTCGCAAGTCAAGTGACACCACCAGCGCTGCTGTTGATCTGATATCTGATGTACAACTGAAAATTGATAAAAACAAAAAGTGTGCTCTTGTTTCACTTGACTTGTGTAAAGCCTTTGACCGAGGGGGTAATCACTTATGTAATATGTGGGACAACTTTTTTTGTAATACTATTCCATGATTATGCAATACTTGTGTAATACCATGTAATGGTTGTGTAATACTTTGCAATACTGATGTATACTAAGCAATACTATGCAATACAATGCAATACTGATGTAATACTATGTAATACTAATGCAATACTATGCAATACTCAAGTAATACTCATGCAATACTACCACATGGTCATGTAATACTTGTGCAATACCTCGTGCAATACTTGAACATGGCCATGTAATACCTGTGTAATTCTATTACATAATGATGTAATACTTGTAAAATACTATCACAAATTCAAGTTAGAGATTTAGTTCATTTCAGAAATATTCAAAGAACACACGCAGTTCTAGAAAAGTCTCTTGTGGCTTGATCATTAAATCATTATTTACACAATCAATATACACTGCATTTATTGTGAATGATAGGATAAGAGAATTGGAGCATTGATATAATTATTGGAGTGCACAAAGTTTGATTTGTTTTCACTCAGATTTTGATTTCACAACTGATGCCATCTTCAAAATATTCTCACGAACTCCAAAAAACACAGGCAGCGCGACAGTTGGCGGTAGGAAACTGTATAAGTAAATCTCAGTCTGAATCGAAATCTCAATTACCGATTGGTCCTATTTCAAGCAACATACCAACCCATTTCCCAAGGACCCATTTCCCGCGTTTATACCTTGATTTGTCAGCAAGTGCAAGTGAAAAGTGAATATTAGCTATTTGATTTGAATACTCTAATCATTCGAATATTATGATGAGTGAAAAAGACAGCAATCATGACGGGTAAGTTTAATGAAATGATAATTATTGTATCCTCGATTGAATTCAACATCTAATAGGTAATGTTATGGTG